ACAACTATAAAATTTAAATTATTCCAAAGTCACAACAGTAATGTGTCTATCTGTGACTTCCAGTATGTATAGGTCCCTATAACTATGAGAATTTGTAATTGCTTGTATGGTTTACTGAATGGACCACATACTTTTATATGCTAATTTTTTTTATTACCTTCCTTCTTTCTTTATATATTCCACAACCATTCTTGACCTTTAGTCTCTTAGAAAAAGCATAATGCTTAAGAATGCATATCGTGGAACCATACCACCTGGGTTCAAATCATAGATTTACTATTTAAAATGTGTGTGACTCTAGGTAAGTTACTTACCTCCTTGGGTCTGCATAGGGTTGTGTCAAGGTTAAATGTAACAAATGCTTAGAACTTTGCCTAACACATGAATGATATATGAATGTTTGTCATCACTATGTATACAGATACTTGAAATGCAAAATTATGAATAAAATATCATGGGAAGAGACAAATGAGTAAATAATTATAGTAAAATACAAGGATTGATGGAAGTATCCCTAAGGCCTGTTGTTGTTCAGGCTCTCAGTCATGTCCAGCTCTTTGCAACCCCATGGACTGCAGCATGCCAATTTTCCCTGTCCTTCACCATCACCCAGAGCTTGCTAAAACTCATGTCCATTGTATCAGTGATGCCATCCAACCATCTTGTCTTCTGTTGTCCCCTTCTCCTCCTGCCTTCAATCTTTCCCAGCATCAGTGTCTTTTGTAATGAGTCACCTCCTTACATCAGGTGGACAAATTATTGGAGCTTCAGCTTCAGCATCAGTCCTTCTAATGCATAATCAGGACTGATTAGCTTTAGGATTGACTGGTTTGATCTCCTTGATATCCAAGGGACTTTCAAGAGTCTTCTCCAACACCACACTTCAAAAGCATCAGTTCTTCAGTGCTCAGCCTTCTTTATGGTTCAACTCTCACATCCATACATGACTACTGGAAAAGCCATAGCTTGGACTATATGGACATTTGTTAGCAAAGTAATGCCTCTGCTTTTTAATATGTTATCAAGGAGCTTCTTCCAAGGAGTAAGCATCTTAATTTCATGACTGCTGTCACCATCTACAATGATTTTGGAGCCCAAGAAAGTAAAGTCTCTCACTGTTCCCATTGTTCTCATCTGTTTGCCATGAAGTGATGGGACCTGATGCCATGATCTTTGTTTGTTGAATGTGAGTTTTAAGCCAGTTTTTTCACTGTCCTCTTTCATGTTCATCAATAGGTTCTTTATTTCCTCTTCTGCCATAAGGCTGGTGTCATCTGCATATCTGAGGTTACTGATGTTTCTCCCGGCAATCTTGATTCCAGCTTGTGCTTCATCCAGCCCAGTGTTTCTCATGATGTACTCTGCATAAAAATTAAATAAGCAGGGTGACAATATACAGCCTTGACATACTCCTTTCACAATATTGAAACAGTCTGTTGTTCCATGTCTGGTTCTAACTGTTGCTTCTTGACCTGAATATAGGTTTCTTGGGAGGCAGGTAAGGTGTTTTGGTATTCCCATCTCTTTAAAAATTTTCTACAGTTTGTTGTGATCCACAGAATCAATGGCTTTAACATAGTCAATGAAGCAGAGATAGATTTTTTTTGTTGTTGTTTTGTTTTGTTTTCTGGAATTCTCTAGCTTTTTCTTTGATCCAATGGATGTTGGCCTATAGAAATTCAAAGAAAGGAGCAAGTGTCTAGAGTTACAAACTCAGGTCAATCTTTATGAAAGAGGTGTAGTTAGACCTGAAAAGATCACAGGACTTTCCCCAGGTGTTAGTTACCGGGATGTTTCTTCTTTCCTGGCTGAGTCATCTTGCCTAAGAACATGTTGATGTGAAAATGTCTTGACATGCCTGACACTTAGGTAGTTAGTCGGAAAATGGTTGCAGACCAAAAGGAAGAGGCAGAAAAGATTTAAAACACTAGGACTTCCATAGTACAGAATTTGAAGAGATATGGATAGTTTAAAAATTATCCTGGTGCCATAAAGGTGGTTTGGTGTGTTGAAATATTCAAGACAAGAAGCTCTCTTAAAATTAATGTTACTATTTTTTGTTCCTGTTCCAATACTGGAAGCAATTTTCTTTCCTTCATTATTCCAGTGCCTGGCTAACAGTACTCTCTCCATCCTTTCTCTCAAGCAGTGTTAAACGATGGCAGCATGTGGTCACTGGAGTCAGGTTGATGTTGAGTGGAAACTCACTTGAACTATTTCTACATATCTGACCTTGGTCAGCTTCTCAGAACCTTGTTTTTTCACCCATTAAAGTAAAATAAATAGGGTCTTCCTCTCAGTGTTATAATAAGTGATACATGAATTAAAGCAGGTAAGTATTTAGCAAATCTCCTATCAAAGTATAATCTCTCAATAATGGGAACTGATAATCTTATTTTCCTGGGACCTTTAGATAGCCTAATCCCTCACTTTGCTTACTTTGTTTGCCAGTTTTAAGTTAACTTATCAAAGCTTTGCTGCTATGTCACTTCAGTAGTGTCTGATTTTGTGCAATTCTATGGATGGTAACCCACCAGGTTCCTCTGTCCATGGGATTCTTCAGGCAAGGATACTTGAATGGGTTGCCATACCCTCCTCCAGGGGATCTTCTATCTTATGTCTCCTGCATTGGCAGGTGGGTTCTTTACCACTATCACCATCTGGGAAGCCCCATCTTAACTTTGATTCCCTAGAAAACAAAGGCTGTGATGAAGCTTATAGACTAAAACTTTATGTGGGGAGGGCAGAGTACAATTCCAAGACAGCAAAAATGAAGGGAAAAAAGAGATATAACGGGGAAGAAGGGGGATCAAATATAAGGTAATAAGTTACTGAGTAGCCACAGCCTCAAGGAAAACATAGTGTATTGGCCATGTGGGCCTCATGGACTAGCTGTGGTTTCAAACCACCTGTTTTGGGAGAAGGCAGAGCAATATTTCTTCTGGTCTCCTTCCCATCTTTTTTATTGGTAGTCAAAGTTCATCCCTCAGACATTAAATTGTCCACAGTTACAGGTGGCACTGTAGCACCTTAGAGAAGCTGTTGAGAAAGACCAAGTTTCTGGCAATTTTGTAGGATCAAATCTGGATCCTGGAGCTACTACAATTTTGCTGCAATAGACAAAATAAAGGTGACTATACCAATGGTTGCTCCATGCCTCAAACCTATAGGGGACTGACACAACTGATTAAGCTGCCCTAGAATGGCCAGTGTAGTTCCTTCAGGCTGGCCTGCATGTCTTTTCAATATGTCCCCATCATTCTTTAAGCATTTCTTTTTACCCAAGATGTTCCAGTTTTGTCCTTTATGTTTCCTTGACTGCTGCTGGAAGCATTTTCCTGATTCCCTTTAGTGAAGAATGGTATTCAGACACCAGGATGTGAGCACTCGTGTCCTTGTTGCTATAAGTACTTACTGTTTTTAGGACTCTCAGTGGATGGGACAATATCTGTGCATGCACACATTTGCATATGTGTGATGTTTGACATAATACAGGCACATTCATCTCTATCTGTGTATATCTATATTTTAAACATGAATTAACATCAATTTCTCCAATTTTAGTTCAGCCACTCAGAATTCTTTGTAGCCTTCCAATTTTCTACATCCCCTTCTGGATGGTGAGAAGTCTAGCTATCCTTATCCTCAATACATTTATGATTTGCACAGTCCTCTCTTATATACCTGATCTTACAACTTTACTGGCTGCTTCCTTGGCCTTGCTTCTACTTGTTTGGCCTCTAGCCCCATTGTCTCTTACTTGATCTCACTATCTCCTCAGTTCTTGTTGCCATTATCACTGTCTCTGCTGTAGGATGAATATTTGTGCTTCTAAAATTCACGTGTTGAAACCTAATCCCCAATGTGATGACATTTGTATGTAGGGCCTTTAGGAGGTGACTAAGTGATGAGAGTGGGTCCCTGATAAATGGAATTGGTACACTAGGAGCTCCCTAGCCCCTTCTACCATGTGAGGACACAGCAAAAAGACAGACATCGGTGAATCTGGAAAATGAGCCCTGTCCAGATACCAAATCTACTGACACCTTGATCTTGGACTTTTCAACTTTCAGAACCATGAGAAACAAATTTCTGTTGTTTACAAGCCATGGCAACCCACTCCAGTGTTCTTGCCTGGAGAATCCCATGGACAGAAGAATCTGGAGGGCTACAGTCCATGGGATAGCAAAAGTGCTAGGCATGACATGGCGACTAAACAACAACATTCTCTTATAATATCTTGAAAGAACTCAGGCTCCTAACACCAAGTCACCACATCTAGACCTTTTCTTTTCTAATGCTTCTCTTCTTTTTCCACCTAGGAGACCTTTCCTTCCTTATTCTTCCCCAGTTGATATAGTAAAATAGCTCTAAGATAGTTTGAGGCTCACCTCTGCTGTGAAACTCTTACCTACTTGTCAACCTCCAGTTCAAGGGGCCTTTGCTGTACCTCCTTTTGCCCTCATTTAGGGACATAAGCTACATCTTATTTGTCTTTATATTCCTAGTGCCTAGTCTTATGTTTGATACATATTATAAACTAAACAAATGTTTCATAAATGGATAATTAGTGAATGAAAATTTCTTTGCAATAGCTTGGGGATCATGGCTCTAGATTCAGACAGACCTAAACTCTGCTATTGATTTTGTGAAATTGGGCAAGTTAATATTTATTTCTTATCTGTTTTGACTGTTTTAAGAAAAAATACTATAGACTGGGTGACTTATAAACAAGTATGAATACTAAATCCAAGATCAAGGTCCTGGGAAATTCAATGTTTGATAAGAGCCCATTTCCTGGTTCACAGATGGCTGTTTTTTTCCCTGTGTCCTCACATGACTAGATAGGTAAGGGACATTTCTGAATTCCTCTTTTATAATTGCAGAAATGCCATTTATGAAGGCTCCAGCCTCATGACCTTATCACCTTCCGAAGACTCCACTTCAAAATATCATCACATTGGGGATTATGTTTCACCATATGAAGTTAGGGGGAGACAAAAATATTCAGTCTGCAGCATTATTTCTCTGAGCACTACCTAACTTCTCTGATTTTTTTTAAATCAGTAAGTAGAGGTGATAATAGTTCCATTATATATTTGTAATGGGGATTGAATATTTTAAAAAGGTTTTTTCGTAATGTCAGTACAATTTCTATGTAAAATAAATGATAGTTACTATTATTAATAACTGATTTTTGTGCAAAACTCTATTATAACATTCATCTGTTGTATATAAATTATTTATTCAGATACTATTTATTAGTCTTGCCTCGATAGAAAAAATCTCAAAAATAAGTGAAAGAAAGTGAAAGTCACTCAGTCTTGTCCAATTCTTTGGAACCCCATGGACTTTACAGTCCACGGAATTCTCCAGGCCAGAATACTGGAGTGGGTAGCCTATCCCTTCTCCAGTGGATCTTCCTGACCTGGGAATTGAACCAGGGTCTCCTGCATTACAGGCAGATTCTTTATGAACTGAGCTATCAGGGACTATATGGTTATTTTTCTTATTGCGTGTTGTTTCTCAGTCTAAGAGAATATTGCAACTTCAATATTATATCTTCATTTGAAAGTATATTATTGATTTAAATAATATTGTTTTAAAGGAGCAAAGAAAAAAATAGTTTCAAAATAGTACAGTAGAGTAAGCACCTATTCTCATTGCTAGCCCAAAGATGATAGAAGACATAAAAAAAATCTGTTGCTTAAGAAGAGAACATCTAAGTTATTGTAAGGCTATAGGGGATTTCTGAGGCACATAAATATAAATAAACATATGAATATATATATATGTGTGTGTATATATGGAATATAGAGACAAGCTAAGAATTTCATAAACCAGTGTCTCTATGGGCTGCTATTGTTATACCTTCTGCCTAAGAAGCCATCATTCATTGGGACCAGAAACCTCCAGAGAATAGGCCACTGGCAATCTTGAGAAACCAAGTAATTGTAAGAAGAAAATAGTTTGGCTCCAGAGCCAAATACCCAGATATAAAATGAAAGTCAAATGTAGTTATCAAGAGGGAGGGATCCCCAACTCAGGGTGAAGATCATAAAAGTGGACTTTACCGTGGATCACCAGAGGTAATTTATACCTACAAGTGTGACATGATTCTGACATTGGAAGAAATAAGCCTGAAGTTTACAGAAGCAAACCAATAAAAACACTTACTTGACTACTCATTCAAAATCAGCAGTTTTGTTCTTCCCTTCAAATAATTGCCCCCTGCACTTGTCATCGTAGCCTGACAACCATTATGATTCATCAAATACATTTTCAAATATGCTGCTTCAGAAGAAACTTTAGTCTGCTACACTTGAAGCAGACTTCTGCTTATACCCAAGGAAACAGATAAAAAAACATTTTTTAAAAAATTGAAACAACTATACTAGATATCCTTATAAAAATAAAGGGGGAGATCATGTCCATGAAAAAAAATAATAGGTTATGAAATAATAAAAAGTAGTAAATCATTAAATATTCAAGGAATTGCAACATATTTTGAGTGTAAATAAAAGTGCACCACCACCATAGCACATATCACCTTCTAAAATAAGACTTTTATTCATTATTATTTGTGAACTTCCAGTGGAATATGCACTATTAAAAAGCAGGAATTATTGTCTGCTTATTCATAGATCATTCCCACATAGTACCTGGAAGAGAATCTAGCACATCAAAGGTCCTCAGATATTTGCTGAATACATTGAATGACTCAATGTGATGTGAACTGTGTAAGTGAGCTTGATTGAATTACAAAGAAACCTGGAAAAATTCATACTTTATTTGGAATTTTAACAGGTATTTAAAAAACTTTCAGAGAGGGTGGACAAAAGATAATTAAGGACATAAGTTATTTCAATTTGACAAATATATCAAATTGAATTGAATATGTTTTACTGATTTACCCACTGTGAGAGCTGGATATACTCATACTGATGATTAAAGCAATAGCACTACGATCAGCAACAAAATGATAGCCTAGACCCATACATTTAAAAGCACTTTGAAACTATTTATGATTTAAAGAGGAAATAAAGATGGAAACTATAAACTATTTAGAAGTGAACAACAACAGCAACAACAAAAGCTCTAAATACAAAAGCAATACTCTGAAGAAAATTTATAGACTAAAAAGCATATTTTTAAGGAAACAAGAGAGGCTGAAAATAAACTAATATAGAAACAAATCCTAAAACTTAAGCTTAAGTAGGTGGAGAAAGAATAGCAAAATAATGCAAAAGAGTTGAAATTTGAGTAGACTAGTAAATTTGACAATGTTTTGTAATATGAAGAAAAGAAAACTGGAAGACTAATCACAAATAACTTGCATTAGGAGTAAGAAAATTTATGATTTATCTTTATAAAGGTATATTTAAAGATTATATAACACAATTCTATCCCTGCTAAACTATCAACTTGGAAATTTTGGAAAATGTCACTTCTCCAACATATATATATATATATATATGTGTGTGTGTGTGTGTGTGTGTGTATGTGTATGTGTGATTTTATGTTGCTAAATCCTCCCCAAATTTTTTTAATAGGAAAATAACCTTAGAAGATATTGAAACAGTGGTCAGATATCTACCTCAAAATTATGCCAGACTCAATCAGCTTTTTTTTTTTTTTTGGCAAATTCTAACACTCAGGTATCATTTTCTTGTTATACAACCTAGCCTAAAAGACTAATGAATGCTGGAAAATTGCTAATCTTTCTTTGATAAAGTCTATACAGAAACAGCACAACAAAAAATTTAGACCAAAGGACCAATGAATGTCACTATGACACAGAAAGAAATAAATATCAAATCAATTCCAGTGTATTAAAGAAATTGCAATAACTATGTTTTCTGCTAAGGATACAAGGGCATTCAAAAACATCTCCAAAATTATTGTTTGATTAAAAAGCAACATGTTATAGAATATGCTGAGAGTGTACTGCAATATAAGTTACAATACTTATACAAAGCAATACTACATAGATTTTGTGAAGAGGATTTTTATATTTATGCAAATACTGATGCTTATAATAATATGTATTTTATGTGTGTGTGCGTGTGTGTGTGTGTGTGTGTGTGTGTGTGTGTGTATAATTGTAAAAGCATGAGGAAAGAACTGGAAAGATGCATGACAAATTGGTACTGGTTGATTACAGAAGAACCAGGAATGTGTGATCATTGGAGTGTCAAGAGAGATCATAACTTTATCTCAAAGTTTTTTTTAATTTAACTGTTCATTTTTGGTTGTTTGAAGATGGATATGTTAATGTTACCTCATGTAACTTAAAAACCAAAACAGTCACCACAATAATCTACAATTGGCCTGGTAACTCCACAATGAAGATCCCAAATATTTGAAGTTTCCTTGAGCACATGTTGAAAGGGTGTTTTAATGTGCTCTGAAGAGAATTTTTTCTTTCAAACTCCTTCAACTGAAGTCACCCAAAAAGCATTTGTTGAGAAATGTATAAGGGTAATTTGGAATACTAAATTGAGCTCTGCTCTAAGGAGCTTTTGAAGGGGTCTAGTTGGGGAAGGTAATTCAACCAAGTACTAGGCAGAGTGGCAGATACTGTGTGGAAAGAATTCACTGATTGTTCTAGGAGCACAGAGGCAGAGGATGTTACCCTGTGTTCTAGTTTCAGTCTAACAATTTCCTGTATCATGTAAGGTTACAAAAATAAGAAAAGTTTTTGAAATTTGGGGGAAATACATATGTATGTAAATATGTATACTGTATGTTTATAATATAGACAGAAAATCTGGATATTGTTCATAATTGTTCTGTTAGGAACAACCACATTAGCTCTGAAGACCTCTGATTCCCTGTCTTTAAAGTGAGAGAAAAACACTAAGTGTTCCCTAAAGATAATTACATCATAACTGTAGCGAAAGAAGATTAAGACTGGGAGAACATTTTCATCTTTTGCTCTTAAATATCCTGACTTTAGAGAGTGTATGTCTCTAAATTAACTATATGGATATCGTATGCCTGAAACCCTTGAAATCTGACATATCATCTATTGTTACAGAAATTGAAAAAGAAAGTTGTGGTGATCCTGGTACACCCTTATATGGAATTAGGGAAGGTGATGGATTTTCTAACCGTGATGTTTTAAGGTTCGAATGCCAGTTTGGATTTGAATTAATTGGAGAGAAATCCATTGTTTGTCAAGAGAATAACCAATGGTCTGCAAACATACCCATCTGTATCTGTGAGTACCAAATGCTTTGCTTCCAGATAGCATATGTTACCCTGTCCTTGCATATAATTGCTTTTGTAATTAATTGCAAAGAACTGGAACCATGTAATTATTTTTGAACGAGTAGCACTTTTTGGTACACTCTTTAGCAAGTGTGCTTATGCCAAACTATAAATTTCCTTGCAGATTTAAATAAAGTTAACATAGTTCATTTGGTAATTGCAAAGTATATTTTACATATGTTCTCATAACACTTTATTGGTGGTATTTTATACTTTATAGATAGCATACTTCTTATGGAAATTATACATCTAAGTGAATTCTAATAGACTCATTTATTTTTAATGAGATAGTACATGCTTATTTGCAATCAGGAACACTTAAAAATATTTAAAGGTTATATTCTATGTATAATGCATTAACTTATTTTTGCTTGTAGATGCTCACACTAATGCATGGTTAAGTGCCATTTATTTATATTTCACAGAATAAAATTCATTAATGTTTATGGCCTACAATATGCTTGGATTAAAATAATATATTTCTTCAAATATATTGAAGCATTTCAATTTAGCTGAAGCAAAAATATAATTTGTTTTATCTGTTGATGTACTTTTAGGTTAAATTAAAAACTATCTTCATTACAACAAATACGCTTACCAGGTGTGAGTGCAATAATTGAAAAGCTTGGATTTTAGTTTTCAATACAAATGGTAACATATAAGCTCATAATCATGAAAGTAAAATAATTTTCTTGTTCTAAAATTATTTTAAAATTTTCTTGTTTCTTATCTGTATCCAACTCTTATAATGATAATGCTTTTCATTTGTGAAATCCTTTATTCCCTACAAGGGCACTAGCACAAACCTTACTTCAAAATATAACTGACATTAAAAAAAATTAGCACTTTACAACACCTTCATTTTATCTAAATTTTAATTTGTGCTGCAAAACACACATTTTCCTTTATTGGAAGTGTTGATTCTTTAACATTTTAAAATTCTTTAGCATTTTTAAACATGTACTGAGAACTTTTTAAGTGAATAGAGGCCAAATATTTCCTAATATTTGAAAAATATTATGCAGAGATTTATATTGCAGTTGTTAAAGGTGATAAATAAATAAATTTCTAATAAACATAGATGTCTAATGAACATATGAGGACTCTTCAACACTTTTGCTTTTATAAGTTATGTGGGTCCCTTTTGCAACTAAACTCTGTCAGTGTAGCAGGAAATGCATTCATGGACAATAGGAAAATGAAAGTACAAGATTACATTCAAATAAAATTTCATTTGGAAAAGTAGAATTCAGGCTAGATTTGGCCCACAGATGGTAGTTTCCTAGTCTCTGATTTAATGATCTGCATCTGAAGGTGGTGGTGTTTAGTCGTTAAGTCCTGTCCGACTCTTGCGACCCCATGAACTATAGCCTGCCAGGCTCCCCTGTTCATGGGATTCTCCAGGCAAGAATACTGGAGTGTGTTACTAGTTCCTTCTCCATGGGATTTTCCCAATCCAGGAATTGATCCTGGGTCTCCTGCATTGCAGGCGGATTCTTTACTGACTGAACTACAAGGGAAGCTCTAAGTATTTGAGAGAGGACTGACCAAATCTATCATGCTAATTTCCCTTATCAGATTAAGTAGATATCTACACAATACTTTAGGTTTCCCAGGTAAAGAATCCGCCTGCTAATGTAGGAGGTCCAAGAGACATGGGTTCAATCCCTGGGACAGAAAGATCCTCTGGAAAAGAAAATGGCAACCTATTCTAATATTCTTGCCTGGGAAATCTCATGCACAGAGGAACCTGGTCACAGTCACAAAGTGTCGGACACAACTGAGTGAGCACACACATGATACAATTTAAACCCTTAATTATATCAAATGCATTTTTTATGTAACTTATTTTGATCTAGTGTTATACATCTATGAGTGCCATGCTGATTTTATGGTAATGACTTAATATTATGCTTAGTAGCACTTTGCTTATAAAAATTCTCACATCTATTCTTGCCTTTTTATTTTTTGCCAAGTTGTGTGCCAACGCATTAGATCAAGTTTCTAAAGAGATTATGTTAGGATTTTGATTGAAATTTAAAAGCAATTTCTATATAATTTACATATTTGATATAATGTTTTCTCATTCAGGAACATGGCATACATGGCACCTCTTTTTTTCTTGTAAAATTTCCTGTTCTCAGTAAGTTTAGAATTTTCTTTGTATGAGTTATTCATATTTTTGTAAGGACTATTTCTAGTCCTTACCTTTTGTAGTCCTGTATTTTATAACTTTGTTTTTCTTCATAAACTATCTTTCAATTGCATTTTCAAATTAGCTATTATTGGTTAAAAAAGGAAATTATTACTTGTTACATATTTATCATATATCAGAACTGAAGGCTTAAATCCTTTTAAAATTGTGTAAAGTGTTCTCTAGATTTTCTTAAAGTTTGTTCTAGTCAGCATTATTTAAAATAGTCTATTAAACACAATATTAGCATCTACTAAAATGATTTAAAATATTTCCATTTTTGATGTAATACACTACTTTAATAGGTTCTGCAATATTAGACAAAGATTGTCTTTTTGGAAGAACACCTAGATTTAAAGATCTTGAAGTAAAGTCTTTTGAAATACTACTATGCTTTAGATCATGCTGATAGAATCTTCAACTTCACTAGAAGGCAAAGCAGTGCTAATTAAAACACTGTGATATCATTCTTCTTATTAAATAAAAAAGGTCAGATAATACCAGTATCCATGCTAGTAGGGGTGTTGCACTATCTAATACATTTTTGTTTTATTTAAGTACAAGATAATATAACTTTTATAGACAAGAATTTAGCAAAATATTCTGAGGGCCAAAGTTCATATCCTTTGTCAATATAGTATGGTACAAAATCGTATGAATTCAATTTTGTTTAAAAATATGTAAGAAGAAACGCTGGAAGAAAATATAATACTTTTTTAAACTATGATTTCCTCTGTGTGATAGATCATTTTTTCTTATCTTTCCTGTGCTTTCTAACTTTTCTGTGTGAACCTTTAAATCAGATTTTTTAAAAATTAAAAAAAAATCTGCGGGGAAATAAAGACTAAGCTTACTATGGTATGAAAATTATTTTTTAGTTGTTTTTCCAGCGTTAGCCACTATCTTGTATTAATTCATCTCCTTATCTGTGTTAGAGGCTCTCAGAGCATCCCATGCCTGTGATAGGAATCAAGTTCACCTAGTTATTACCCTTACTCCAAGTTTTCTTCAGGTTGTATCATCCTGGTAATGTTAGTACCCATGTATTATTTTTGTTTGCTTGTTTTCTGTCATTTTGTGAGATTTGTATGAAAATCTCTATATTCTTCTCCAATGTTTTTTGAAATACAGAAACTAAAACTTTGCACCATACTCTAACATGGACATGATAAATGTAAAAATAAGTTGTTATTGCTCCAATTATATTTTTGTGCGTATTTAACATACAGTAATTCAAGGTACTAGTTGCCTTCCCTAATAATGTGCAAACAGTAACAATTTTTTTCTGTTTTATAAGACAGATTACATTGTTTAATATTTTTTTCAAACTTCTAATTGATTATTGTAATTATTGACAATAGCAAATTGAGATACTGTATTACTTTTGGCATTTACTGTATTTTATGATTTTCCTATTTTAACAGTTCCTTGCCTCTCTAACTTTACCGCACCAATGGGAACAGTCCTTTCTCCTGATTATCCAGAAGGGTATGGAAATAATTTAAATTGCATCTGGACAATAATCTCTGATCCAGGAAGTCGAATACACCTTTCTTTCAATGACTTTGATCTGGAATCCCAGTTTGACTTCCTTGCTGTTAAAGATGGGGACTCTCCAGACTCCCCAATTCTTGGAACCTTTACGGGGGCTGAGGTGCCTTCTCATCTTACTAGTAATAGTCATATACTGCGGTTGGAATTTCAAGCTGACCACTCAATGTCAGGACGTGGCTTTAACATCACTTACAACAGTAAGTTTAATTTTTCTATATAACATATTCCTATAAATTAGAACTAGAAAAGAAATCACACAAAACAGTCCTCTTGTTCCTCCGATAAGGAAATCTGAACACATCATATGTATAATTTCTATTGGGGTGGTCTTTTAGTCCTTGATTCTAACCATATTTTTATTGTGTCATTTAGTCTTTTAGTCCTTGATTCTAACCATATTTTTATTGTGTCATTTAGTCTTTTAGTCCTTGATTCTAACCATATTTTTATTGTGTCATTTAGTCTTTTAGTCCTTGATTCTAACCATATTTTTATTGTGTCATTTAGTCTTTTAGTCCTTGATTCTAACCATATTTTTATTGTGTCATTTCTCTTTTTAAGAGGCATGATATTAAGGAGATATATTTCAAATATAATTTTATATCAGCCAATATATTAATTCATTTTATGAAGTCATATAAGCATAATCTCATACCTACTATACATATTTCCCTGTTATTGGTATACAAACATATCTTCCTTCTGGATTCTCATAAATCAGTAGAGAATTTTAAACAAATAATGACAACACAGAGTTGTAATTCCAAAGATAAAATTCACTAGACTATCAAAGTATCACAGAGAAGGAAATTACTAATTTGGGGGCACTGGATTACTAAATTGACTTAGCAAAGCCATTATGTGGATGATACCTTAGTGATTAGGAAGATCAGCTCTAAAATCAATCTATGAAACTTCAAATCTTGTCTTTGCTGTAATACATTTTTAGGTTTAATAAGAGAGCCTCAGCATTCCCATCAATAAAGTTATATTGAGTTTTTGTAAGGAGTTGTCAATAAAAAAAAAAATCAGTGGTTTAGATTTAATAAAATAAGCTAATGTATTGGCTGATATAAATAATCTAAGAAAGAAATGAAACATTTTTTTGAAGCCAAACTGTGGATTATAACCTGGGAGACAGTCTTTCTGAAAGCTCTGACTGTTCCACTGTTAGAGGTCAAAACATAGTTATGTAATTTTTTGAGACAATATACAAAGCAAGTGGTGATCCCTTATGAGATTAAGAAGGAATGTTATCTCCTAAAGCGGAGAAGGCAATGGCAACCCACTCCAGTATTCTTGGCTGGAAAATCCCATAGACAGAGGAGCCTGGTAGACTGCAACCATGGGGTAGCCACGAGTCAGACCAGACTGAGCAACTTCACTTTCACTTTTCACTTTCTTGCACTGGAGAAGGAAATGGCAGCCCACTCCAGTGCTCTTGCCTGGAGAATCCTAGGGACGGGGAAGCCTGGTGGGCTGCCGTCTATGGGGTCGCACAGAGTCGGACACGACTGAAGTGACTTAGCAGCAGCAGCAGTATCTCCTAAGGAGGTCTGGTTAATGCAGATGCACAGTATACACTGAAGAGGAGGAAAGAGGCCCAAGAAGGTAGAGGGGAAAAAAAAATCTATGTTTAAATATTTATCATGCCATAGAATATGAATTTTATTTAATTAGAGTAAGGTAATGCATGTAAACAATTCATTATATATACCTAATAAATGCTCAATAAACATTAGCAGTTATTGTTTAGGTGCCTTCTGAACTATTCCCTTGAAAATTCTTGTTGTATTACTGTGCTTATTTTATTGTTCTAGTTTTAAGAATTCTTTGAGGTTATTTAGCTATTGTCTGTCATCCACATTTTTTATGTTTCAAAAGGATGAATATTATTTTCTGAAAATAACATGGTATAAATATAGAGAAAGAATCACATAAAGAAAATATCTTAGTATGTTAACAAACATACATACTGATGCTTCTATTTCCACATATTTTACCTGAAGCTATAGAATGTCAGTGATTTTTATTGTTTATGTGCAAAAGTACCACACTGCATCAGATATTGACCAATTTGATGAGTTAATGTTTGTGTCACATTATAATAGAATTTAATTTCCTGCTCTTTGAAAAAAATTGCGCCCTCCTCCCCCACCGCCTTGCCCCAGCCCATTCAGTGCTGAGCTTTGTCAACTAGTAACCAAATGTGGTTATTGTCTTTTCAAGATGACACTCCTAGTGATTACTGGCACTCAAAAGTTGTCAATGTGTAATTGCACATTGTTCAAGTTAATTTAGCCATGATGTGTCATATCGGCCCTCTCTATAAATTAATTACTTTAACTAAGTCCCTTTTAAAATGTTTGAGGGTGGGATGTTTCAAGAGAACAGCATCGAAACATGTATATTATCTAGGGTGAAACAGATCACCAGCCCAGGTTGGGTGCATGAGACAAGTGCTCGGGCCTGGTCCACTGGGAAGACCCAGAGGGATCGGGTGGAGAGGGAGGTGGGAGGGGGGACTGGGATGGGGAATACATGTAAATCCATGGCTAATTTATTTCAATGTATGACAAAAACCACTGCAATGATGTAAAGTAATTAGCCTCCAACTAATAAAAATAAATGGAAAAAATAAAAATTAAAAAAAATAAAATAAAATAATGTTTCATCAGTTCAGTTCAGTTCAGTTGCTCCGTCGTGTCCAACTATTTGCGACCCCATGAATTGCAGCACGCCAGGCCTCCCTGTCGATCACCAACTCCCGGAGTTTACTTAAACTCATGTCCATCGAGTCGGTGATGCCATCCAGCCGTCTCATCCTCTGTCGTCCCCTTCTCCTCCTGCCCCCAATCCCTCCCAGCATCGGGGTCTTTTCCAGTGAGTCAACTCTTCGCATGAGGTGGCCAAAGTACTGGAGTTTTAGCTTCAGCGTCAGTCCTTCCAATGAACACCCAGGATATATGTATAAATATAGAGAATATATGCATTTTTCTATTTACAGTTTTTATGTTGTTGTAAATGCATATATCTGTTTTTTGTTTTGTTTTGCTAAACAGGGATTGCAGTTCTCTGACTTCAAAATGAACTTTGGGTCCCACCAAGTCCTAACCACTGTACTGCCAGGGAATTTCCTTAAATGCATAATATTTTTATCTTTAACATTTATGGTACCTTGAAGATATTATGGAAATATGCCTTTGTTCCTTGTTCTGTTTTTCTAGTAAATGATTTAACCCATTGTATTCAAGTTCTTACTCCTATGCTTCCTACTGATAGTTTTTTCTTGAAAAATTATACAGCAGATGTTATATTCAGGAGCAACCAGACTTAATCAAAATTATGCTTTTAAAAAGCACAACAGAAATAAATTAGATATAAGTATACATGCAAAATAAATTTTATACATTTTAGAATTTACTTAAAATTATTTTGTACTGAAAATGAAAGTGAAGGTGGCTTCAGATGGTAAAGCCTATGCCTGCAATGCGGGAGACCTAGGTTAGATCCCTGGGTTGGGAAGATCCCTGGAGAAGGAAATGGCAACCCACTCCAGTATCCTTGCCTGGAGAATCCCATGGACGGAGGAGCCTGGTACACTACAGTCCACGGGGGTCGCAAAGAGTCAGACACGACTGAGCGACTTCACTTTCACTTTCTTTCACTTTATTATTTTGTACTGTTTAACTTAAAAATGAGGAGATGGATAATACAATTATATAATTTATGAACAATATCAGTGATGATTTAGTGAAAAATTGAAATAACTGCATGTACTCATGCAGTATGAATATGATATTAAATTGTATATGCCTCATGAAATAGATTTTACATATTTAGACTTGCTACTTTAAATATTCTTCCATTTATCTTAAACTAATTTAAATACCTACAATGCAAATTTGTAGGGCTCATGTAACCTATAATCTATGAGAAATTTAAGTAAACACATTGTCCTTAAACAATTCTGCTACTTGCTGGGATGGGGCTAAATACACATCCTGGATGAAACAAGGTGAAATAAGATAGTGGCCCTGAACCAAGAAACTTGCATTCATTTGAGAGGCATGAGACAAATGATCCAAGACAGAATATGTTGTGGAGAAAAAATTTAAAGCCAGACCAGGGGATACATTTCAATAGTATCTTGATGATCTGAGCCAAACTATTAATACTTTTTCTGAATTTCACAATACCCTTTAGAGTAAATGGCTATTGGGCTGTTCCAAATGTTAAGTGATGTGATAATGTGTAATATCTACAGCTTCTATCACAATGCCTAGAACATAGTGATTGCAAAAGAATTAGCTCTCTTCCGTTTTCCTAGATGGCAGAGAATAAATGATATATGGAAAATTATTGAAAAATTGAAAGACTTTCATACTAGATTGAAACATCTCATCTCTTTATTCCAAACAATGAATCACAACAGAAATTTTCAAGGATATGTAGTCAATCTGTTCTGTATTCACATTAATTGGAATTTTGTTCAGCGTTTTAACCTGGAAATTTTACTTAGATAAAGCTAATGATTTCAAGAAATAAGCAGAAACAATTCTACTTTGAAATATTGTAATTTTATAGTGAAGTTCTTATTTTAACAGTGATACATCTATTACACATCAGAGAGAAACAGGTGTGGTCAGAGGAGAGTCTCTCTATTTTGTTTTTTTAATAAATAAGGGCTTTTCTAGTAATGAACATAACCTTTCTAAAAATCAATTTTTATCACCCAGATACTCAAGGGTCTGTTTCATACTACTAGTTTGTATGTTTTTCTCTTCTTTTGCTGTTCTCAAGCATTTGGACATAATGAGTGTCCTGATCCTGGAATACCAATCAATGCAAGGAGATTTGGGGACAACTTTCAATTAGGAAGTTCAATTTCAGTTATTTGTGAAGAAGGATTTATTAAAACCCAGGGAACAGAAACAATTACATGTATACTTATGGATGGAAAAGTGATGTGGAGTGGCCCAATTCCAAGATGTGGAGGTAAGCACAATGCTCAGTGAAAAATACAATTTCATCATCACAATGCACTAGAAACCATAACAGGAAATGTGTTGTTCTGCCAGGACTGTTGTAATCTTAAAATATCGTTTAGTATTTTTCTTTAGACATATAGTATGCAAATTACACATTTAATATTTATTATTTTATCTTTATTATTTTAACTTTTAGAAATCTTTTAGAAACTCCTTTTAAAAGAAGTGCTTATTAAAAGATATACAATAATAAATAGTAAATATTAGCTGCACATGCAGGTTACCTTCAATATATTTCAGTTACAGCTGAGTAAACTTTATAGTTTCCAGTCATATTTTTCTTGGTATTTTAACTATTCATGATATAAATTTATTTTCAAAAATGTATTATTATTAATTACAATGAATAAGTTTATGCTAAAACACCTGTTATTTAAAATGTATAATTTTATAGAAATAGTTTACTGAACTTTTTTTTTCAATTTTGATTTGAATGTAATATAATGTAGTCAAGAATGTTCAAGACAAAATACATGTGTTATATGTATATAGCACACATATATATATGCAATGTTTGTGAGTATTGATATATCTTTGGACATATATACTCACATAAACTCACAAATCATCTTGATAACAGGGAAAGATGATCATCTTAAGGATAATATTATATACCAAGTATATAGTGTTTTAATATAGAATCTGTAAGAGTGAATGTGGGTTGGACTTTATTTAGAATTGACACAGTAGGAATTAACATTTTGAATTACATGTTTCTCCTATTCTAAGGTTATATAACCATTTTATAAAAAATATATATGAAAGAACTTTTACTAAGACATAGATGAACTAGTCATTAAACACCTTTCAATAGATCACCATGGAGTGATTTTAGGTGACAATTTTGAGTGGTTTCTTACTTTCTTTGCTTTCCCAATTATTCTTCTTAGCTGTGCCCAGACTGACATTGGACCTTTTTCTCAATTTCTAGCTAATAAATTGGGAATGTTTAATACATATTTTCTAAAAGTATAACCAATTTAATTGAATAATTCAGCTATTAACTATAAATATTGAGTTTCATTGAATTGAACATTTTCATAATGTCTCATGGTGAAATAATCCAGACCATGCAATTAAGTTTTCCCTTAGCGCCTTCAATTAGCACCTCCCTCCTTTCTAATCACTTCATCAGAGGGCCAAACTGGATGACTTCACTGTTCTTTTCCAAACCTCAAATATTATGGGCTTCATAGGGGTTACCCTGACAATGGCTATGACTATGCTATTATTTTTAAAACGCATAATGAATCTGCACAATGCAGGACTAAAGTAAAAGGAGAGAGCTGAAAGTAACATTCAAGTTTTTCCATAATACTTTGCCCCGGAGCTCATCATTCTTTTAACCTAGTGCCCAGCCTAGACTTGGGAAATCAGTCAGGAAAGTCTGCCTTAGTATTTGAGGGAAAAGTAGGAGATAAAAGTTTGTTTCAGGCAGAAGGCATAGCATTGGTTCAGTGTGACTGGAGTGGAGGATAAAGGGACGGGGCTTGATGAATTCAGAGGCCTCTGAAGAATGAAATTCTTTGTAACAGCACTAAGGAGATTAAAAATTATCCTGTGGCAACAGGAAACCACTTCAGTTTGGAAGTGACATGACTTGAGCCCCTTCCAGCACGGTGTTACTTACAGTCTCAGTGGACAAACATAGAGACCACCTCCAAATAATTGGATCTCACTGAGTCCTCACTTGGCTAACTTAGGTATTGGTTTAGGAGCTGTTTGGTGCCTGGATGCATGGAGAAGTAAAAGTAATGAGGTTGACATCAAGAGATCATTTGATGAATTGCTACTTTATGTGAGAGAGCAGTTTCAGTGAGACTTTTCACCATGAAAAATGAATGGTATTTAGCTTTTAAAAATAAGTGAAACATAAATCACAGCAGGATCCTCTATGACCCACATCCCAGAATTTTAGAAACAAAAGCAAAAATAAACAAATGGGACCTAATGAAACTTAAAAGCTTTTGCACAACAAAGGAAACTATAAGCAAGGTGAAAAGACAGCCCTCAGATTGGGAGAAAATAATAGCAAACGAAGCAACAGACAAAGGATTAATCTCAAAAATATACAAGCAACTCCTCCAGCTCAACTCCAGAAAAATAAATGACCCAATCAAAAAATGGGCCAAAGAACTAAACAGACATTTCTCCAAAGAAGACATACAGATGGCTAACAAACACATGAAAAGATGCTCAACATCACTCATTATCAGAGAAATGCAAATCAAAACCACAATGAGGTACCATTACACGCCAGTCAGGATGGCTGCTATCCAAAAGTCTACAAGCAATAAATGCTGGAGAGGGTGTGGAGAAAAGGGAACCCTCTTACACTGTTGGTGGGAATGCAAATTAGTACAGCCACTATGGAAAACAGTGTGGAGATTTCTTAAAAAGCTGGAAATAGAACTGCCATATGACCCAGCAATCCCACTTCTGGGCATACACACCGAGGAAACCAGATCTGAAAGAGACACGTGCACCCCAATGTTCATCGCAGCACTGTTTATAATAGCCAGGACATGGAAGCAACCTAGATGCCCATCAGCAGACGAATGGATGAGGAAGCTGTGGTACATATACACCATGGAATATTACTCAGCCATTAAAAAGAATTCATTTGAATCAGTTCTAATGAGATGGATGAAACTGGAGCCCATTATACAGAGCGAAGTAAGCCAGAAAGATAAAGACCATTACAGTATACTAACACATATATATGGAATTTAGAAAGATGGTAACGATAACCCTATATGCAAAACAGAAAAAGAGACTCAGATGTATAGAACAGACTTGTGGACTCTGTGGGAGAAGGCGAGGGTGGGATGTTTCAAGAGAACAGCATCGAAACATGTATATTATCTAGGGTGAAACAGATCACCAGCCCAGGTTGGATGCATGAGACAAGTGCTCGGGCCTGGTGCACTGGGAAGACCCAGAGGGATGGGGTGGAGAGGGAGGTGGGAGGGGGGACCGGGATGGGGAATACATGTAAATCCATGGCTAATTCATTTCAATGTATGACAAAAACCACTGCAATGTTGTAAAGTAATTAGCCTCCAACTAATAAAAATAAATGGAAAAAAAAATAAGTGAAACAAAATATTCAGAACTCTCATTTGGCACAGGCCAACAGGGTCTCAGATTCCTAAAGAGAACTTTATAAATTTTCCAAAGGAGAAGAATATTTTTTCTGCATATGTGAGTAAAATTACACGCAGTTGCCTCACCCGCCAGTTTCTGGATCCCACACTAAGTGGGAACATCACTAAGGATAAGACTAGAGCCAGGGGGCAGAATGGCCGTGGGCTGGAAACAGTCTCCCCTGGCACTTGCCAGATTACCTGCCATATCCCAGGCTATGTTTTGAGCCAGTTTCCACCAGATAAAACATACTACTGTCAGCTCACTCTGGTGGGTTTCATTTCTAAGACTCTGATTAAGGATTCTAAAGATTTTCTTTAGTTTTTCCAGAATTCTATTTAGGTACTAACAAGAAAAGCCTGAGATTAGCTGAGGAAAGCTTTTTTTCTTTTTCTAAGTTCATTCTTCTCTCTTTTCTTTCTTTCTGTTTTTTTTTTTTTTAATTGCAACTCTTCCTCCTCCATCCCCCAAGTGGCCACACAGCCACTCCAACTCACACAAAGAAATATGTCTGAGAGCCTTCTCTGCCTATAGTCTTTGTTATTTAGCCTTTTATATTTTGGCAGAAAAAATGTTTTGCTTATTATTTATTATAGTTTATCCTCTGGGACTCTCTCACAGTTTCCAATATATGCGTAATATTTTAGCTGTTTTTAAAATTATCATTGTCTTAAATATTTTATATAGATTAACTATGTACATGTTTATGTATTGTAATTAATAGAAATAACCTTCTATTTCAATTTTATTTTCTAAACACAAAGAACTACAAGATCAAATGCATTGTTAAAAATTGCTAATGTGTATGGATTTCTATGGGCTTCCCTGGTGACTCAGTGGTAAAGAACTCACCTGCCAATTCAGGAGATGTGTGGGTTCAATCCCTGTGTTGGGGAGATCCTGCAGGCAAGGAAATGGCAGCCCACTCCAGTATTTTTGCCCAGGAAATCCCATGGACAGTAAAGCCCATGGGGTCACTAAATAGACACAATTTAGCGACTCAACAACAATAGATTTCTATGTGTTAACATTAGAAAATAGAAAATAATTTGTTTTCATCAGAATTTATAGAGCAAAGGAGGTCACTATAAAATGTTTTGATAAGAAAACCCAGGGATTCAGTTCACTTAAAGATTGCTCCCTCCACCCAACTCCTCTCTATCACAATTATATAGAAATTTAAGCATTATTGGCAAATTAATGATCCACTTGTGTCAACTAGTCTTCAATCCTAAAACTGTGGAAAATCTTGAAGAAGAAAAGAAACCTATCTGCCACAGGCCTTGAAAAAAGATTGTCCAAACAGAAAGGGAGAGATGAAATCATAATATATTGCAGTTCTGTGATCCCATAGCTGAACTAAGATTTATTTCAGATAGCTTAAATGTAATTGTTAACAGAATTGGGTTGTACATTTTATTCACTGACCTAAAGTTCAACCCTAATACATTATCTAGGGATAGATTTAGGCTATCTTTTTAAAATTTTGAACTTTTTTCTCTAGAATGGATCAAATTTCCTCATGAGGAAGAAGGATTAGATGCTTTATAAAACCTTGAGACCATTCAGTTTTGCTGATGGAAAACAGAACACATTAATTTTTATAATTAGCATTGGAATTATTCACTTTGAATTTCACAAACCATCCGCCTAACTCAATTTAGTAACAATCAATGACTCTTTTCACTCACACCTAGACAGTAGCCTGAATAAAGCTGGCTTTATCTAGGGCCAGTCTCTGCATGGAGTCTCCTTCAAAGACACATCCTAGAGCCATGATGAATGGTTATCATAGGTCTC